TACACCACGTAAAAGCAGGGTTTATATAGCTTTTGATCTGCCTTCGAGAACATTCTGGGCCAAACTGGTAAGAATTCTTTCCAGAATGTTCTCCATTCGTCTACAACATATCGCCAATTTTGTCGTCAAATGTCGCCAAATAGGCGAATTCTTGCCAAATATGGCAACTTTGCCTTCCCTTGCCATTTTCTGGCAACCCTAACTCCTTGCGGGGAAGCTATCTTACCGTGACTGGGCATTTCGTAACAATAATATACACAGTAAACCCTTAATATAAATTTTAAATCAAATAATTAATTAAATTAATTAAGTATATTAATTAATTAAATATCATTTTAAAATTTGATTTTTTATTTCCGGAGTTTTCTTTAATTATTCTTCCTTATTTTATATGAAAATTACTTTGGAACCAATAATAAAGCTTTAATTATTTGATCTATTTTTTTTCCTTGTCTAATTTAAAATAGTTGAAATATACCCCGAATTCTAACAAAATGATCAAAATTGCCTTAAAAATAATGTTTCAGAAGTAAGTATCCAGCCATTTGAGAGAAGGGGAAAAAGTAAAGAGAAAAGAAAGGAGACAGCAACTACTTATCCCTCTAATCATTAATAATTTCCCCCTAATTATTATAAAATATAATTGATTTAATTAAAAGATAAAAGTGAATACTGAAGTACATAGCCATGCCGTTATTCAGAGCGGAACAAATAAGAAGTGGTGACGAAGTTACTTCAAGTTATACAAAGCAGTGAAACGTATATTTGTACCAGATTGCATGTTACCTTAAAAACCTTCTTTCTAATTATCATATGGAAGCATGTAATCACGAATAAGCAATAATATTAAGTTAATAAGCTACCAGGAAGCAATTATCTATAGATATAAATAAAAAGTAATTATCTAAAATAGACGAGGAATTTTCGAAAATAACTTGCTATGAACAGAATTTTCATTTAAGCTTTCTTTTTGATTTAGATTTCAGTTTCAGAGAAGCAAGTATGATATTTGAAAAGCTTCAAAAATCTGTAAACATTCAGCTTCTTACTAATTCAGAAATCAAACAACAAAAATCAGCGTCATATTTTCAAAATTGTCCGACTTCTGAATTAGTATTTATTCGGCGTGTTATTGTGTCTTAATTATTCAGCTTCTTGTTATTTCAAATGGTAAAAATTCTGTTCGAATGCTATTTGAAACTAATAAATAAGATGAAAAAATAATGATTTATTTAACGAGTAAATTGTGCTAACAGAATTTAAATAACATGGGTAACAGTTTACGCTAGCTTGTTTCACAAGATGTGAAAGATCGTTAAACTCCACATAAGTATTATAAAATTTTACGTAACTGTACAAGATAATATACTGCAGTATATATTTCAAAATATGTACTTCACTTCTTGACAGAGACAATAAGCTTTTCATTGTCTCTGTGAAGAAGTACGAAACACGAAAAATAAGCTGGATTCTCCTTAGATTTTGAATCACAGATCTTCCAATAGTCAGACAGACGTGATACCACTTACACCACCAGAATACGCCCGTGAAAATGCGATAATTTCTTATCTTCTTGCCCTAAATAAAGGATGCCTGAGAAACACGGTAACTGGTCGACGGAATCCAGGTGACGATGAATTGTTGGCCACCGCATTTGCCGCCGTTATAGAGACTTTAGAATGTTTGGAGCGAGAAAACGAGAGAAGTCAGTTGCGTTCTCGTCGAGATTCGAAACACTGATCTTCTAGTTTCCTAGCAAAAAGTACTTACCACTAGATCTTATATCACACATTTATTTATTTCAGATGAACAACTGTTTCAAGCAGTTTTTCTACAGGTTTTACTACTGAAAGGCAGAAGCACGATTTTTTCTTCCTTTCGTAAAAAGTTCTAAGTTCTCCATCTTCAACAACCAATCAGCTATCAGCATCCCGTCCCTCATTATCAACTATCGTTTGCATTGGAGAACTAGTTTCCCCTTTATGTGGTAACAACGAAACGATCCGCGGTTACTGCTTGTTTTGTACAGTGTGACAAAGGAAAAAAAAAAAAAAAAGATTTATTCTTTCAAAATGTCTTGAATGTGTGATACGACCTTAACACTGCTACAACACGCACAGCGGAGTATAATTATTCCTTATATCTTAGCAATATTGGCAAGAGGAATTAGAAAGAGGCAAATAATTACATTAGGTCAGGTTTTCCACATAGTGTTTCTTTTGTGTGACATATTACTCTATTATAGAATAGGATGTAACAGCCTGTGAACTATTACTATTTTTCTAATCATAACAGGTATACAGTGTAGCTGGTGAAATACAGCAAAGCATAATACGTTCTTAGGAGTCTTGATATTACTTGCACACGACGTTTCTTTGCTGACCTCTTAGATGAATATCAAGACGTTAGGCTGCAATAGTCGTCTACTAAATCTTTTGGGATCCATTTTCTTTGGAAGCATCTTTAAGCTCTCAAGTTTATCACTGACAGATGCACAAGTGTCGGAAACATTTGAAGAATGAAACTCCTAAAGAACTGCTGAAGGACACTCTAAAAGACTTCTATTGCTGTTTCTGTCGAAGACAGTAGAAGACCTCTAGAGTTAATAGGAGGCAACAGGATTCTTTTAGAATGTGAGATTTACCAGGCTAGGTCGTATCTACTATGAAGCAATGAATCAACTAGTAGTCATACCTGACCACCTAATGTAGACAAAGATATGACGTATAGGTTATCATATCTAGTTATCACCTGTTATCTCAACTTGCTATTTTTTCATATAGGTTGGTATGTATTGTTCTTGCTAAATGCAAGGAAAGTAAAAGTTAAAATCTTTTGTTACTTCACTTACATCCAATATTCTTATTTGGTGCTCAAAATCTTACTCCATACTTATCACTTTCAACAAACCTGAAGTACGGAACTCTTGAAGGACACTCTTAAAGACTTTCATTGCTGTTCCTGTCGAAGACCTCTAGAGTTAATAGGAGGCAACAGGATTCCTTTAGAACCTCAATTAGATCCAGAAATTTTGCCATTGCCAAAACGGTTGAGATGGTAGCGGTTGTCTTGGACACCTCATATCCATCATATAAGGTGTTTAAGACGCTGTATACCATCCATATACATTACCATCTGACACCGTATAAGGTGTCAGATCACTTTATACCCAGTCAACCTACCTTATACATAGTCAACCCACCTTATACGTATATCCTTGAAAGGATTTGTTCTGCTTTCAGGAATTCAAAATTTGAAGAAACGTACTCCAGAAGACGTAATCTGGAGTAATTATCAGCAGTAAATATTATTAATTGATGTGAAACTAATTTTGTGGTGAAACGGAAAATAAAGCACTGAACATTTTAAATTATATGTTGTGTCTCGTTCTCTTTGCTATCATAAACTAACAAGACGCTAGATAACTGTGTAGGGAAGTATCCTCAAGTCTTAAATACGGCAAAGTTCAGAGAAGGGTGTAAAGAACAATTTATTAGCTCAATATAATCACAGATGCACCAATTCGTGCTTATAGAAGCCAACACTTTTGGCTTAACTCAAAAAAATAACGATGAACTTAAAATTAAATATAGTAAGTTTAGCCTAACGGCTCATAGGATAATTTAACGTTCAGGAAGGCTCTGACTCGTAAACGTTGGCGTAAATGAGCTTAATGGCTAGAAGCATTCAACGCCACAGAAATTTAATCGCTAGTAAATCAAAATAGCAACGTGGCTTTCAAGCAGGTATAAACGCGCTCTAACATCACCTTTCCTTAATTACTACTTCTTTCTACCTCATTTAAATATCCGCGCGTTACCTTATTAACATTCTGGCAGGAAAGCGTGGATTGAAATCAAAGGAAAGTTGTTTTAAAATAAAAATTAGCTGTTAGATAAATTAAATAAATCATCACGATCGTCTTACACATTTTATATGAATATTATGTGAAAAAAAGCATTATTTTCTCCTTATGAATATGTATACAACAAAGTTCACACTGTTATTCAGTCTTATCATTTAGTAATTACAACAGAAGTTCTCATTCAAGATTTGTCAGACATACAAGATTAATGCTTGAAATTAGCACGCCTTAAATAATAATTAGTTTTGAATGAACTGAATAATAATCTGTTCCCAATGGAAATATGAAATAATTTTAATAGAAAATATTCTGATTAGGATTTTGAGAGAAATGCCTATAAGGTATTTTCCCCGCCTTTTTGGCAAGCCTTCGTAGTGTAGTGGTAGGCACGCTGGGCGCGTATTCCAGAGATCCGTGGCTCGATCTCCGGCGAGGGTGTTGATCATTTTTCATGTCTTCTGCTTCGAAAATGTCTAATGTCTACATGTTATGGAATGTTTTGAATTGCAATTTTAAATGAAATTCTTTAAAAAAAATTATTTTAATTTTCAATATGTGATATTTTTCTTGAGAAAAGTATTTCAATAAATACAAAAACTATTTACGTTATTTATATTTTCATTTAGTTTAATTTAATTCAAAAATGTAACTTTGTTTTCTTATGCAAAAAATGTATGAAAAACCATAATATATATTATACGAATATATTAATATTATTATATTTAGATTAATAATAATATGGATTGTATTATTTCATTAAATGAATCATATTATTTTAAGATTCCATACGTAATTAAAATTTTTAATGTTTATTTAAATAAATATGTAAATAAATTATTTCATACGAAATTTCAATATTAAGACCACATAATTAATTTCGCCATTCATAAAAGCTTTAGAAGTTTCTTTTTTTAAAACTAATTAGACTAAACATACTATGCGTAAAAAGATTTTCGCGTTTTCAAGAAAATATTTATTTGTAACGAATAGAAGGCAATCACTCTACACCTGTGATTTTTTTTAAATACTTATGGCTTATGGCTTACCTTTTTTAGGAAATCTCCGGAATGAATAGAAATATCCAAAAAGATAATGAGCACACACACACACACACACAAAAAAAAGAATTTATATATACATAATTACTTATTTTTAATATCTATACTTTTATGGGTAAGTTTCAACTATAAACAGTGCTAAATTGATGTCAAACAATAACATCAAACAGTCCTTATGAAAAAGTTCAATGATCACCAAATGTATTATAAGAAATCAGTGTAATTATTCCCTTGAACGATCCGATTCCTGTGTTTTAGAAGCACAATCATGCAGTGCATGCATGCATCAGTACGCTGTATTAAAAACTGCATAGTATCATGTGAAGAAAAATGAAGTGAGTAATATTTTCACATAAGTGATGCATAAACTTGTGCAGACAATACATTCAGGATTCTCAAGCTGCAATCCTTCGATCGTAGTTTGCTTTTGTGCTGGAAAGATTAGTGAATAACTTTTGTACGAGTTTCTGAAAAGCGGTGTTTTTTACTACAAAGAGAATCTTCACCAGTCATTGCAACACTCGTTTTGAGCTTGAATGAATATTATTTTTGGCTGTGTTCGTTTCGGTTGCTGGACAACGATAATTTGCTGTTGCTGTTCCTGGTACATATTGCGAATTCTGGAAAGAAAAACAAGAATAAAAATACTACATTACTTACATAATTAATTTATAAGTATATATCTAGAGAGAGAGAGAGACAGACAGATAAAAAGTAAGATATTTAGAACTAAATTTCCAAAGACATTAAAGAAATGAAATTTAACACCAGTATAATTCAAAATTCCCAGTAATTATGTAAAAATATCAACCATGCGCGTTAATGGTATTGTGTTGGTTTAGTTAAAAAAATGTGTGATCTGTAACATATAGTATATGTGTGTGTACATATATTAATGTATGTAACTAATTAATAATAACTAATGTAGGTACATGCATACTAATACAGGGTGATCATAAAAAACTTCCCCGATATATGAACCCCTAGCAGCCTATTCTTTCAACAGATCGAATTGAAATTTCAGGTGTTATTTGGAGGTATGCGCTTGAGATTGCATTGGTTTAAAACAATCGCGCTCTCACAGTCACGATTTCAGTGAAAAAAAAATGGAACTTTTCACCATATGCAACACATACCTTTTTCCTGCGCAAATTGATCAGCACGTAGAAAAACCATAAATGGCTTTGAAAGGGTACACTTATGTCGAAAATTCTCGGCGTGAAATATTTGTAAAGAAGAACATATAGAACCAATGACAGCACAAGACAGGAAAGGAATAATATGTTTTATTGAATTCATAAGTTTTCAACTGACACAACGTTTCAAGGTAGTAATCTCCCGTAACTTCGTAGTTTCGTGGCCACCGTGATCCCCCTACCTATCTCCGATGGATTTCTGGATCTGTGGTTATTTGAAATCTAAGGTGTACACATGAAATCCATGAAATTTTTCAGACTTGAAAGATGCCAAAAAAAGCGAAATTATAGAGATTTCTTCCGCGATGTTACGTTCGTCATTGTTATCAACAATTCCCCGCATACTGTGCATTATTTTCTGCGAAGATGGGTACGTTGAAAACTTCTAATTCCATTAAAAAGATTTTTTTCCTGCGCTCCTCTTGCGTTGTCATTGGTCTTTTACAATGTTGTTCTTTGCAAATGTTTAACGTCGGCAATTTCTGATATCGTTCCAAAGACATTTCTGGTTTTCCAATGCACAGGATCTATCTACGCTGGGATAAAGTAGGTGCTTTTTTTCGAAAATTTCGAAATATTTCTCTGTAATCGTAACCGTGAGAGCTCAATTGTTTTAAATCATCCCAATTTCGAATGCATACCTTCAAATAACAGTATTTGAGATTTAATTTCGATTTGTGATTGGTTGAGTGGATAGAGTGCTAAGGGCTCACATATCGAAGAGGTTTCCTATGACCGCCCTTTGTATATATATATATATATATATATAAGAAAAGAGAACAAACTATAAAAGACTTATCTGGTCAAAAACTTTGTGCATTGAGCTGCAAAATTTAGAAAAAAGTTAAAAGAAAATTCCTAGTTCGTAAGCCAAGAGGTTGCTTAGATACTGTGGTTCCGTTGACAATATTAACATAAGTAAAGTGCAATGAAATGTGTAAATATAAAATATTAAATAAACAATATAAACACTTGAATATTTGCAAATAAAATTCAATACTAATTGTAAGCAATATGCTGATCAAAGTAAGGCATATTTTAAACATCAGAATTAAAATGTGACAAAAGACTTAAGCAAAATAATATTTTAAAATATTTTAAAAAATAATATTTAATAATTTTAAAATACAAAAACAAGAAGCGGTAAATGATATATATATATATATAATCGAAACAGAATTTGTAAAGCTAAGAGTAATGAGCGTAAGACTATTTGGTCTTAAAAAAATTATATAAATAAATATATTTGGTCTTAGCAAGATCGCTGCAATGTTTTTCTACTTTATTTTATATATATATATATATATAATCAAAATTAGATATTATATTTATAGAAATACATATTTCATAATTAATAAATTGTTTTAGTTTAAAATGCTAAATTATGATTATTCTTATGATTTAAAACAATTTTATACTTGGTAGTATATGACTAGGACCAACGGTTGTGAAAACATAGGATACAAAAGGGGTTCTGTAGACATAATGTAAACGTAATGATACAATGTAACTAATAAATAGCATGTTATGTTTAACGAATATATATAATGCGATAAATATAGCATATAACTAAAGAAAATTTTTTAAAAATTCTCATATTTTCAAATAATTATTTATTTTGTGCACATATAACAACAATTAATTTTAATATAAAATATTTCGAAAATTTTCTAATTGTTCTAAAAATTTCATTGAAAAAACACATAATGAAGAAGAAAGAAAGACGAGTAAGTGAAATGCATTAATAGTTGCTAATATAATATAAAATGAAATCAACAGCTCCTAAATATTTTATACTAAAAAATAAAATTAAAATGATCATTGACAATAATAAATTTTAAATATATACAAAAAAGGTAGTAAAAGTAAGTACTAACAATATTCAATCCAATAACTAAGGAATAATAAAAAATTTCTAATTCATATATATATATGTATATATATAATAGAAAAGCAAAAATTGGAAGCAATAAAGCAAAAATTAGAAATCATTAGCCATAATAGTAATGTTGTACTTATTTAGAATTTATGATTCATTAATGAGCACTTTAATTTTATTGTTCAGCATAAAAAATTACAGTTGATTTCATTTCATATTATAATATCAACTATTTAGATTTTGCTTCGTTATATTTATTTCTAAGGTATTAAAAAAATAAAACATTTCCAAATAGTCTGTAACTAAGTATATAACAAATTCTCAGCGTTTTATTTCTAAAATTAGAACAGCCGATGTGTTTTTGGAAGGATGTTAAGAACCGGGAAGCGAAATAAATAACGAAATAAAATATCAATAAATAAACTATAAATAATCAGTAACTAAAATGGATTAAATAAAATGTAAAATGATAACTACAAATGTTTGTCAATTGATATAAATTAATAATTATTAGAAGAATAATAAATTAAATTAAATTTCTGCATTATAAAAATGAAACAAAACAGAACAAATATGACTAAATTCATTAAAACAAGGTATGATACATTGACGATAAAAGAAATGTTTTGAGCAGTATTACTCTTTGCTGTCAGATTGATTGCATTCCTTACTTATTTTGAATTCTGATACGTTTGAAGACTTCTTGATCTGAAGGTTAGCATTATAAGTAATCCTCTTCAAGAACAGATAATATTTTGAAACTGTGGATCTATTCTTCAAGTAGTACTAAGCAAGATTTCTGGCTTATTTTACTCCTCTAAAAGTAAGTTGGATATATTTTTAGCAGCTAGAATCAATGACAGTTTTAGTAATTACTTACTAAAGTTTTGAGCTGATGCTTCAGTTCAGATTTGAAAGTACAGGAGCTCATCGTATTTTAGATTCTTGGGCTCTTCTGGTATTACAATTTCATTCAAAACTGAGAGGTACCGAAGCAGCCTCCGGTAGGCTGAATCTAAATTTAAGCCTTGACTCTACATCGGTTTTATATTTTTACAGCTCTACTAAATGTAGCTAAACAATCACTTTACTCAAATAATTACTTTATTAAGTATTTCCTCCCTCCTTTCGGCATGATTTCGTGGTGTAACGGTAGCACACTCGGCCTGTATTCGAGAGGTCCAGGTTCGAGTGTCGGCGAAGGCATTGGTCACTTTTCAGGTCTCCTGCTTCAAAAAATTCTAATGCCTCTAGAACTTTTATTTGCATTTACTTTGAAAAATGTATTATTATATATATTGTTACGTTTTTCTTTCTTCCGACACCAGTTGTTACGTTATTTTCTTCTCCTTCACGTTCATACGGGGTTCGTATGGATTTGGAGTGAAAAACGACGACACTACTTGATGAAGCATCGAAACACACTTTATTACTAATATTAGCTCCAAAACACTTTTACAGTCGTCGAAGATCTACTATACACACGCTGACACAATCAGCGACACAGCCTTCACACTGTCAGGCAATAACGGTGGAGACAGCTTCACTGCAAAGCACCAGAGTACAGCTCCCGACTCTGCTCGGTCGTTCTCGGAACTCCACGTACTCTCGAGACTCTCCACGCTACAACTTGCGATGCACTCGATGAGACACGGGCACAGCTCCCGACTCTTCGGTTCAGTCGTTCCCGGAGCTCAACACGCTCTCTCGACGATACACTACGAAGAGACTCTTTCGATGCAGTCGACGACTCACTCGGCACTCGCTGCCCGGCTGTCAACTCGATCGACTGCGCAGGGATTGACTCGCAAAACGAGACACCAACTCGATACTAACTAGCTCGCACCCTCGAGGCACACTCTATCAGCTCGCTAGGCGAGGCACACACACTCGATACTAACTAACTCTCTGCGTACCAGCAGGGTTTATATAGCTTTTGACTGGTGTTCGAGAACATTCTAGGCTAAACTGGTAAGAATTCGTTCCAGAAGTTCTCCATCCGTCCATCGTATATCGCCAATTTTGTCGCCAAATATCGCCAAATAGGCGATTTTTCTCCGAATATGGCAACCCAGCTTTCCCTTGTCATTTTACGGCAGCCCTAAAACTGCTTTGCGGGGAAACCATCTTACTGCACCTGTAGATTTCGTAACAATATTAATGAAATAAACACAAAAATTCTATTTAAGAAGGCAAAAGTATCGATAATCTTACGATTAATCACTTTCAGCTTATAAGGTATTTCTCCCGCCTTCTTGGCATGCTTTCGTGGTGTGGTAGTCTGCACGCTGGGCGCGTATTCCAGAAGTGCGCGGTTCGATTCCCGGCAAAAGCGTTGCATATTTTTCATCTTGCCTCTTTCCAAAAATTACCTAATGCCTCTACAAGCTGCAAAACCCAGTCCAAAGTGTCTCTTCGAACAATTCTCTAGCCACTTTTTCTGTAGATGAAATTGGTGAAGAGATTACGGAAGCCAGAGATGAGCTAGTTGTAAATTTTCTTTTTGTGTTCAAAAAAATAAAAGAAAAGAAAAAAGTGACGACAAGAATGATTTAAGAAATTATACTCATTGAAAAGCAGGTGAAGCATTAAATATATTCGTGAAATTTACAAGTGATAATAACCCCAAAGCAGTGGAGAACTGATGAATCTTCGCATTTTCCCCAATTATGTTTTGAAGGTATTTGAACTCTAAAAAGGCTTCAAATAGCAGCAATATAGAACACTGCAAAAAATAGGTTAGTTGGGAATAGTAAACTACTCATATTCTATAGTTCAACCATCTGGTAAATTTACAATGATTAAATCTACTTGTAAAGGATTTCTACTTAGATCTTAAGTTACAGTTTTACATTCTTATAAGAGATTGAATAATATTTGTAAAATTACATCTTTCCTCTCATTATTAAATAATTGCATATTTAATGAACGTTTTTAAAGATCTGAGAATAAAAATATGATTGCTGATTTATAAAATATTTTCAAAAATTTGGCTTTTACAAATTAGAAGCTAGATTCCGTGGAACAAAAGTTTTGTTAGCTTGCCTTAGACTTCTCAAGTTAAATTCACTATAGCTAATCAGTAATCTATGATTCGTCCACTAACTAAATGGGTAAATGTTCTGGTACAAATTAATTTACTTTCAGTTTATGAAGAATTAGAGATATTAAAAGATATTACAGTAGTTTAGCTATTTGTATACAACGATGCGGAAAGATTGTATGTATCTGGTGTGTGATACACATAAAGTAAGCCGTCATTAGATTCTCTTATTTGCCAAAAAATTATTAATTTACGTTGCTAGAAGCACATTGACTAGACTTTTATTCTCCATTTAGCTCCGATAAACAGGTATAAAAAGTGAAAGAACTGCAGTTACTAGTCTTAGGAAACTGAAAGCCTACTTGAAGCTAAGGTTCGATGTGAAACTCATTTTTACCCTAAAATCATAAAATATTTTTTTAGACTAGATTTCTAAACAAAAATTGCGCTAACTCATGGCGAGAAGATGAAGTCGTCTTTTAACTAATTTAACGTGTTAATTAAAAGCAATTCCGCCATTTCTGTTGGTTGCAGTACATATTTTTTCCAATCAATTTATTTATTAAATAGTCAGTAAAAACAGCAGTGCTGTGTTACGCTTTAAAAGCCATTGTTATCAAAATATATATAAAAAAAAGAATAGGGATTTGCTAATATCTAACTTTAAAACTACAAATTAAAAAGCATTTATTCATTAAAAAAAAGTAACATTTGATTCAAATAAATTTATGTTAGTTTAATAAATAAGTATAATATGTTTAGATGGTTATGGCTGTTTAACCTTCAAAGCGATCGTGCGCTACTATTACATTTGAATCCTAACGAGTGTAAATTAAATTGTGTTTCACGTTGTAAATTAAATTGTTTTCCAAAAACGGAATCAGTTATTCGTGTTCTTTTGTAAACAACAATAATATTCAGATTCCCAATAATCATGTCACATTAATAAAGATTTATAAAGCTGAAAAATGTTCACACTATTGGATAATACCGAATCCTCTTGGTTGACTCAATAATATCAAGACTGTTGCGGTTAAAACGCATTATATTGTTTTACGTACTGAAAACAAAGTAACAACAAGATGTTCAGTTTAAAGTGTGGGCTTCTTCAATGTCTAGAAGCTTGCCTGAATGTCTTGCAGACTCTAGTAAAATGCAGAGCGAGTTATCGATTTAGTGTTAAGCAAATGACCAAGTCGTAAGAATGTTAAAACAATATTTTTATTTAATTCTTATAAGAGACTTATAAAGAACTGAAGGCGCTGCTTGGATTACAGGCGAATCTCCACTACCCACGCATATTTAACATTACATAAGATGAAGTTAATTCAAATGTACATATTGTAGTCTTCAGTTACACACAAAATACACTAATTAAGATAATTAACGGCGAATATTTTAAACGTTGGCTTGCAGAGTGCTAAAGTGAGAAAAACTATGGCAAGGTTGGCGATAATACATAACTGCAGCGAGAGGTTGCCAGAAGCTGTAACACTAAATCCTTCGAACCCTCGAGGGGGGGATAAGAACACAACTACTAATTTGAATTCGGTTGAGTACTTGAGATATGTTTCAAAATCATAGCTTTTTCTTTTAAATATTGTGAAAAGTTTAGAAAAGTTATCAAAAAGCAGTATCATTCACTTAAAAAAATATTCTTTTTTTTTTCTGCTTATAACGCTGAAAAAACTAATGCATTAGTAATGGAAGAAACCCTGTTATATTTAATGTGAAAAACTAGGTTTTAAGTCCATACAAAAATATACCAAATACTCACCCTGATAACACATTGGATATCATTCCTTGAGGTACTGGAATGGGTACGGGCAAAAATCTAGGCCTCATCATCATGCCCATGGCTGCTCCATGCATGATTGCTTTCATCATGAAATGGCCATGAAGTTCGTTAACAGTAGTTAATAACAGCAATAAACACGTGAGTGAAACTTTGGCCTTCAGTAGCATAATCAAAGCTAAGGAAAAGATAATAACGAACCAAGAGTTAGTAGACGTAAAAAGTTTGTTACTTGATTTTTACTTCCTTGTATGAAGTAAAGGAAGTATTGCAATCGCGAAAAATTTCGGGTATCATATTTCAACGAAAATAACCATTTTCACCACTCTTGAATCCAATTGAATGATTTTTTTGGAGGATATCTTTACGTATAGACAGAATAAAGAACACTTTTTTCCAAAACGCATTGTAAATCGGTTTTAGTAAAATGTATTGTGAAGGGATTTTTCTTGTGATGTCTGCACAAGAAAGCTCTCTTCGCAATACATTGTCTTGCTATGACGTGGGAGGGAGTGCTTTCAATCAGCTGTGTGTTTATAACACTTCTAAGGTGAAAAAAAAACTGTTTTGAAGGAAAGGTGTAAATACAATGAACAATTTACAGGGAAGGAAGAAGAATTAAACTGCCTTAGAGATATTACTCAAGATCATTATGAAATTCCTAAACTTTTTAAATCGTTGCTAGCTTTTATTTAAGCTATAAAAAGTCTGAAGAGGGATTTAGAGGTATTAAAAACATAAAATGTGTTTCCATTACAGGAATTTCTACATTATGAATTTTCTGAAACGAGTAGCCACATTTCAAGACCTATCGTATTTTTCCGTTATTTACAGATCATTTCCTTTATCATTGAAAGACTACTGCGATTAAACTCAAAACAATTATTCAAATGCCTAACGTAATTCTATTGCTTCCCAAACTTAATGTCTTTTATTTAATTTCCAGAAGATATGAATCTAATGCTTAATTGAGAAAATATCGATATTAAGGAAATGTTTGTGGCAAACGTTTGACAGTACGTGAATGATGAGTCCCATAAAAGGAGATACTTTATGAAGCGTTTGCAGCCTTGATATTAACCTTAAACTAGTTTAACAAGGAAAGAAAAGTATTTCTTCTACAAATGTCAATTCTATAAAAATTATTAGAGCAGATAAAGCTGAAGCTGATGATGATGTTAATTAGAATAGTTTCCATCTTGTTATTATCAGATGTTTTCAGCCCTCAGACGTTGATATTTTAATCATCAATTTCTGGTTAAGTAATCTGCAATTTGTCTTTGAATTATAGTTTTAGTTTCTGTAACTCTTCAAATAAGTATTTTCAGTTGAATATTAATTTGAAGATTTTTAATTTAGTTTGTGAAACTGCTACGTGAACGATAAGACGGAAGCTACCATAAATTCTAACCAGTTTAGTTGATAACTTGTAGATAAAGTTAGCAATGCAGGAAAACCTAAAATGTTAAACACTGAAATTACGCAAAATATTTTAAATATACAGTAGTACCTCAGATCATAAAAATTTTACTTCACGAACTATTAAATTCTGGAACGAAGATATTATCGGAACATAAAACGTCTTCGATGACGAACATTGCCTCAAATTGGCAATTGATTTTCAATTTTGGAATGATTTTCAAAGCTGTTTTGAGATAAATTACACCACATAATTAACACTCAGGGTTTTATGTAAAAACTCTTTTAATACTTTTGTTTAGCTCCCATTGACAAAGCCTGTGAGCGAGTGGCTTACCAGACCATGGTTTCAGCCTCGAAGAAATTATAGTTCCAGGCAGAGACTTCGAACCCTTTGGCCTTTTGTGGTATCTGTGATACTGTGCCTTTAGACAAAACCACCGGCTAGGAAGATAACACAGAAGATGAGGAAGAGTTACTGGGGGATCACGAAATGAAACTCATTAAGAAGAATTACAGAAAACTTCAGAAGTAGCAACGAAAGTCAATTTTGGAAGAAATAGCTTGAAAAAAGAAGAATGATCACAGTTCTTTGATCAGCGGAATTTGTGCAACATGGGAGAAGATACAAAGTTGTTATATAACGATATAACTCTGATAACACGGTAGCAATATACAAAATAAACATTTTCATTGTTAACACTATGTCTTACTTTATAAACATTCTTAAAAAAGAACCAAAAAAATCTAGTAGAGAGCTTTCGAAAGAAATGGCGGCCTAGTGGTTCTCAGAGTCGAGTAGCGCTTACAGAAAAAGAAAAGATAAAAGAATATACCTCCTAAAAAGAGTTATATGATGATTTTATAGACGCAAATTTCGCATCCAAATAATAACATTTTCCTCACCATTCGCCATTTATGCTGTCTCCTTTGTACACTCCCCTTTGTACAAGTACAGTAAATTAGTTACATTTTTGTCTGTTTTATCAGTTTAATATTGCTTTCATTAAAAGAAATTATATTTAACGATTTCCATTTGTTTTGATTTATGTATTTGTGCACAAAGTGCTGTTATAAAGTTTGAATAAGCAATCATCTGTGATCCAGAAACGAATCAATTTTACGTTAATTCTTATGGGGGCAATTGTTTCTGTTTACAAACATTTTGGCTGATGAACGACCTTCAGAAATGACTAATTTCGCATAGCGAGGTTTCACTGTATTTGTAGCAATATAATTGGTGAGTAAAAATGTGTTAAAAAGTTAAATCATCAAAAGATTTGTTAAAGCAGGAAAGGTGAAAATGTGCAGTGCCCTCGTCAGAATTCGAACTTAAGACCTTTAAATGCTAGGCAGATGTGCTTTCCATTACCCCACAAAAGCTTGTGGCTGAAAGGAAGAAGATACATTACATTCACTCCCACTAAGAGGATGATTGTGGAAGAAGGGTCGCCAAATTCTGTGGTGGTGACGAATTAGTTTAGTTCGGGCATCACTGCAGACAGATCTATAATTTTTTGAAGCCGAAAAGGTGAGATAATTAAGGATGTCATCGCCGGGATTCAAACTACAGACTTCACGCGAACATGCTTCCAATTACACCCCGAACGCAGTGGTAAGGAGGGAAAAAATACCTTGCAAGGTATAATACACAAAATGTAAAAAGTGAAAGGTCAGTGCAATTGGTACATCAGATAATTTCATATAAATTATCCACTAATTTAATTCAGTCTCTGAGAGGATTTAAAAGTTTATCAATTGATCTGATGTGAACAAACGAGATGAGTGCAAAATAACTGTACAACTACAGACAAAAGCAAAAGCCTTGTCATATTACATTTACCAGCAGTTCCCTTAAAAATTGGTTGCATTATATTTAAGATAAAAATTCATTATAACGCAGAGACACCAAACTGACGTTTTCTCGAATGGTAGAATCATCTTAATGATGAAATCTATCATATCCAGAATTTTGCAGAGAACTGAATGCATCATAAAGTAGAAAACGGAGCTGTCGAAGAAGGAAATGTCTTGGATAAAATCGTCTTAAAATACCGTGCATGAGAAAGTTGAATACCCATATTGAAGCACATTGAAAAAAAAAAAAAAAAAAAAAAAAAATCACAGTAGGCTCTAGTATCTATATGCAAAACAGCATATTCTCTTTTGCCATCATTATTTCCAAACGTGCCAGTTTCATTGGATTCAGAAGCACTGAAATTGGACTCTGAATTTAATGAGCCAGAATGCTTATCACTGATCTCTATATATCAGACCGTAAACAGCACCACTACATTCAAAGAAGGCAAAACATATTACTATTTTCAACAAAGGTTCTATTACTGGTAAAAACTGTAGTACAGGCATAACGGAGACTCATGTCTGGCTTTTAGAAAAATCGTCGGTTTACAATTCATATTCATGAATGATAACACGCACCAATATCGTCGATTTTGCTGATCAAAGATATTCTGCAAAAGGAGGACATCTAACACTGCAATGGTTATAAAAATCTAAATGAAAATAAATTTGTATGATGCCACATAGTATGAAAACTGAAGAATAGGTGTGGAATGCACAGGAAGACGAAACGTGTCCCGTTTAATCCTTATAAAGACCACTGTAAACCTAAAAATAGATCTACAAATAATTTTTTGATATGGAGCTGTATGGAAAACACGACAGAAAATAAAAAACTTGATATGAGAAATACGCGGCTGTAAGAGCTGATTAGGAAGAATCTTCTTCCAATTCTTGCCAAATATCAGTTTTAAATTTTTAAAGAAATACAAATAAAAATAGAACTAATTATTTTTAATAATCAAAAGATTCGGAACTATTTTGTTAGGTCGAGTTTTATTCGTAACCACAATTTTTATAATTTTCTGCTGTATAAAAGGTACTAAGCTGAATCCTTATTTCCGATATACGTTTTGAAGCTATTTTCACTGCTTCTTATCGCCGCATAAAAATAAAATGCTATGTTTATTTTCGTGAATTCCCATAATAAGAAACATGCATTGTTTTACATTACAAAAATTCAGATTTAAATGGCAGTCTAACAAACAGCATAAGAAAATAAAATAATACAATGTATGACATCTCAATTTTACGTCACAGGCGAATTTTAATATTCCACATAATGAAAAAAGGAAGCAGTTTACTCTTATTAAATTTATGTGTGTAAAATTATTATGTAATTCTTATACAGAAGGCTTTTAACGTACTGCGTCACTTGATGCTGCTTTTTAGCCCGAAAGAGCGTCAGCACGAATGGGCTATTTATATCCAAAACGGGATTTTACGCCGTCCACTACAAACAGCGGTATCACTTTTCAGATTGTTGCCTCTTATTCTTATTACCCTGTATTATTAGCTCCCAATGGAGTTAGCCCTAATAGGCTATTAGTATCAAAACGGGATTTGGCGGCGTATTACTTTAAATGTCTGAATAACTTTTCAAATTGTTGCCACGAAATATTATCGTCCTGTATTATTTTTAAAGAAATTAAAAAACAATAGTACCTAGAGCCATTAAATTTCGAATAAAGTAGTCCTCAACCAGAGCATGGCCATTTGGAAACAGGAATTTTGAATTTCGAATTCCTTTTTTTATCTATTTCATATTTTGTAAAACTAACGAATTTTTGATTAACAAACTCAACGATTTGAACGCGAGCAGTAGCAATACTGTACGAAAACATTTTTATTTCCAGCGCTCGAAACTACTCGTATCTGTCGGAAATTCTAAAGATGTGCTGCTTTTAAATATTTTGTTGTTTTGGTACTGAATACAATTTTATGTGGCAAAAGCGCCAAGAACGCGGTATTTAATAAATAAAGTAAACACATAAAACGTTAAAAATGAACAAGCCATCTTACTAAGAAAATTGTACATTGATATGATAAACTGAGTAAAGAATGAAAAAAATGGAAAAACGTAAGCCAACTTTTAACATTTCATCGGAAATTTTAAGCACATACTGCTTTCAAAATTTTTGTAATTTTGCTGTTGAACAGCATATGGCGTAAGCGTGAAGAAAATGATGCTTAATAATAAAGCTAACATGACAGAAAGAACTGGATTAACAGGAAATTTTATCGTGTCCGCATTTAGGAAGGGAGTGCAGCAGCAGATTTGAAGACTACGTGTTCAGTGAGAGCTTAGAAAATCTTTAAGAAACCCATTTGGGCGACAGTTAAATTTGAGTCCATTCAGATTCTTTTTAAAGAAATTAAGTAATGAAGAATCTGTATGCATGTATGTTCCTCGCATTGTGAAGAAACGTCTGTACCTAGAGCCATCAAATTTTGAATGACCTAGTCTTCAAACCCCAACTTGTGCTCCTGGAAGCCTAAATTTTGAATTCCGAATATAATATTCCATATTTTGCAAACCTTTAATTAATTTTTATTAATAATCTCAATGATATGAAAACGAATAGTGGCAACTCTGTACGTATAAAACGTTTTTATTTCCAGCCCGCAAGACTATTGAAAATTCTAAAGGATTGCTGTCTGTGAGTTTCTGTTGATTTGAATTTTATGGGGTGTAAATTCGAATAATATGATCTTTAATAAAAAAAATTAACACTCAAAATGTTAATAATAAAAAGACAAAAAACGTTTTCCAGTCGATGTTACTAAGAAAACTGAATCTTGTTATGATGAAGTGAGAAAAGACTGAAAAAATAAGGAAATGTATGCCAATACCTAACACTGAACCAGGAATTCTAAATACATGCTTCGATGGCGCTTTGAAAAATTCTTGTAATTTTGCTCTTGCACTGTATGTGGCGTAAGTGCGAAGAAAAATCATATAATAAATAAGTAAATGTATGCCAACACCTAACAGTGAATCGGGAATTCTAAATACATGCTTCGATGATGCATTGAAAATTCTTGTAATTTTTCTATTGCACTGTATGTGGCGTAAGTGCGAAGAAAATCATGTTTAATAATAAAGCTAAAACGACAAAAATATAAATAAGTTAGCAGGAGTGAGTGCCAGCAGACTGGCAAACTGAGAGCTCAGCGAGAGCTTAGAAAACCTTAATAAATCCTTTTGGACGATCGCTAAAATCTGAACCATTTCAGATTTTATATTTGTAAGGTTTTTATTCTTTTAGTTCATTATCAATTAATTTAGCTTTTCAAGATGCTTCTGTTATGAAATGCTACCGAAGATAATTCCTTCATTCTGCATAAAACGTTTTCATCAGAAGAAGAATTTCTTAATTTGGAAATAAAAATATTTCACCATCCTAAGAAAATTGTTTTAATTTAAGCCAAGCATTTTTATGTAATGTTATTTGCTTTAGATCGGTGTCATAAAATAAGCTAGCTAAATTTAGCCAATTATTTAGTTTAAAAACATATTAAGTTTTATTAAAATTATTAGTTTCATTTTAAAAACTTATTTAGTTTTATATAAACTTATTTTAAACAAAATTATTTTGTTCACAGTAAATTGGTTTATAGTTTAAGTGGTCTAAGCTGACAGATCATATTAATATAAATTATTGTATTTAAAAACGTCTGTTTTATCTATGATTTAAGGCTTCGATTAAATTTGATTTTTAAAAGGTTTAGTGTTAAAGAATATAAATACACTTGGTCCTGGACCGCGAAATAAGGTGTAAATTAATCGATATTTATAAATATTTATGTCCTTGTTTTATATTTTAGATAGTTTTAATGTTGTTAAAATTTCATCAAGGAAAGTTATGTATTACCACCCAGAAGGAAAGCTTCTCACCTACTGTAAAATGTAGTCCAAAAATTCATAGAATTTTCTTCTACTAAACTATTTAACTTTGAGCCCCAGGCTTCACAAAGACAGTTCTTTAACGAAGAAACATTATACAGCAAAAATTTCCAAATAAGACGTTTTTATTTACAGCATATATTCTTCCGGGCAATTCGAGAGAATATAGAATTAAAATATAAAAAATATAATGAATATTCCTTTTAGAACAATAAGAAACTAAAATTAAATAAAACTGCCCTTCACTGATTCACTGGTTATATTAATAAAATATCGTTTGTATTTATATAAAGCTAATCTTCTATATCAAGTAGTAATAGCTTAATAAGAAGACGATAACACTTACCTTTGCAGAATTTTGTACAGAACACATTTATCCAGAGAGTTTATTTCCACGACCGATTCAGAAGGCTAGAATGAACGAAAAAATCCCATACACCTAAAAACGTTTAGATATATAGTCAAAGAAAAAGGAACTCTTTAAGAAGGAACTCAATCTGAATTATTTGAGCTTTGCATGCTTTTTTATCCGCTTGTTTCCCCGAACTTCCAAGTCATTACGTTATGTCGTGTGCACTCATCTGCAGCTAAGGAGTAGAATAAAATTGCATTTTGATAGGTTTGTTACCTCCAAACTTTTCTTAGCTAAACTTTGTTCATTTTTTTTTGACAATCAGTACTCTTTTTTTTTTTATTGGACAGACAACTTGCAATCTGTGCTTTTGTGACATTGATATTGACGGATCCTGTTCAAGTATTCGGGTCAATAAGGAGAAACATTTTCAATATGCCCTAAATTTTTACGTATAATTATAGTAAACAAAGCTGCTTTTGAAGAACCATCGCTTTCAAAATTATTTAAAACTTTAAAAAAAAATAGGCGAATATGATATGATGTCTGATATCCAAAACAAAGCAGAAGTGAAAATTGAATTTATGATAAATACAGTGGAATAATGCAAATAATAATTTGAAAATTTACGCAATTATCCTTGGTTAATTTTCAAAATTTATAACTTCAAATTGCTTGAAAACGTTTTTTTGCGATTAAGAATTTAATAAAAGTTCGATACATCTTTTAAAAGAAATAGACTTTGTTTCAGCACATATTTGTTTTCGAAAAAATTTTATTGCTACTAAATGTTTAAATTTGCAGTTAAAAAAATTAGGCTAAAAATATTTGTTATCTTAAATTATAAATTACTGTTGACAACGTCTTTATTTTATTTTGTTTCGTTTAAGAAAATTTTCGCCAGCAAAAACAACATTTTCACTTCAGCTTCTGCCATACTTGCTTTGTTTGGAATTATCACTTCGGGGCAAACGTCTCTCTGGCTATGAATTTTTATAAAATATTACTCATTGCATAAATTTTACACAAAAAATTGTTCTTTCTATCTATCACATACTTCCAAAATCTCGATTATTTGAAGAGTTGTAAATATCTTAAATCGTTTTATTTCTTTAATAGCTTATTTCTCTCTTCTAATTTTGCTTTACGCATGCAATAAGTAAAATTTTGCAGCTTATTTCTTGCTTGTTTGCATATTTTGTAGCAGCAATTGACACACGTTCAATGGAATTACAAATTTGATTTCCTTTCTCCCAAGAAACCAGAAAGGAAATCAAAGGAATTTGATTTCCTTTCTGGTTCTCTGTAAATAGGTACATACATACACACATATTCGTATATATGTATATAAGAAATATGCTGGCATAATAAGTTTTATAAGCTTTTACATCTGACGGAGTTCCGAAATGCTTATATTTCTTCTACTTTTTTATTCCTGTTGCAATAGAATAACAAAGATACAAAAAAGGAACATTTAAAAATTAAATAAAAATTCTTAAAATAGTACAAAAAATAGGCGAAACACACTAATTACACAAAATGAAATTAAATCAAATAGTTTTCCTATTCTAAAATAAGAATTAAGGAAACAGTTAATTTTTCGTAATTAAAAAAGAATAAATTTTTCGATTAAAATTGTTAGTCGCAGTGTATATAACCAAAGGCAAAGGGTTGGCTCTATTACGAAATTATTTTATCTTTTTGTGAACGAAATTTTGCCAAAAAGAGAATCAATAAAATTTATTGTTGGAGTTATCATGGCTAATAATGAAAATTTTAAATAAAAAAAATATGAACGCGTACTACTTCCTTAAACCTTCAGTCAAGAAAAATGCGTCAATCGTCTAAAAGAATGGATGCAGAAAGGGTTGCAAAAATTTAAACGAACCGTGCTTAAGGGTTTACCTAAAAGTGAGAAATTGTAATACCAAACTGGTAAAGTCGGAGGAGGTTGAACAGAAAAAAATAAAATAAAATAAAATAAAATAAATTAAAAGCTCACGCTTTCTAGATGAGATTCTATTGGTGGAAAAACTGGAAAGGGGTGGGAGTTGTTAACTTCTGTTATCGAGAAAGAAGGCAAACTTAGAATGAGCAAAGGTGTCTTGTTTTCTGTTACAAGTCTTGTAAAAGAACCAACAACGATAGCAATGTATTTCCACAATCTTAGTTTTAATACTGCCCGAAAGTTCAGGAAAACGAAATAAAGGTGTTAAAAAGTCAAAATGCTTCACGTAATCGAGGTATAATACTTCTTAAGAAATCCAAAAAAAATTGAGACAGGATAGAATTCCAGTAATTAAAAAGTATATAATTAATAGTACGTGCATTAAAGCGTATTCTAATTTTAAGAGAAAAAAAATATTTTTAATTACTTATACACCTTAAGTTACTCGTAAAAGTCATCCACTAATTACCTTCTTTTCAGGTTTGGGTAAAAAATATCATTTCAAGTAATTTAAAATATAAATTTAATGCCAGCATTTTTTTAAAGAGTTTGTTTTGGGATTTGATTTTTAGGAGATTTACGAAATCTTGTAATTCTTCTTGAACGTAACATGTCCCATTGCAAACTTTTTTTAGTCTATGAATTTGCGTATTAATAGTATTAATTATAATTTTCTTGGAGATGTTAAAATGAGTTTAATGGTATGAAAATTGGAATCTATTCTTTTATCATAGATTCTAATAACTTTGTAGTTTAAAATTTCTAAATCAAGGTAAATAATATCTTGCTGTAAGCTAGTTTTGTTAAGGCAAGCAGGATAGATATTTGCTTCTTCTATTTTATTAAAGGTATTAAATGTAGTGATGTCATCGACATATCTGTAAATATACGAAAAATAACTACATTGATCATTAATAAGTGAAATTTGAAACTGATATTCTTGTGAGAAAAGGAATAAATTGCAAATTTCAGATGAGGCACTCGATCCCATTGGGAGGCCTCCTACTTGCTTGAAAAATGTATTATTAAATTTTATGTAATTGTGAAACAAAACACTGTTTTAAATAGACTTTCCATTCTTCTTTGGAGACTATTGTAAGAATTTGGGAAAACAAATCCGGCAGAGTGAGAAGACTATCAAATATATATTCTAACGGTAAAGTACTGTAATGATCTTTGAAATCATAGCAATTAATATTATTAATATATAGAGACTGAAGCTTCTGTGATCGGTTCGTTTTTGTTAATAATCCAATTGAAATTGTGGTCTTGAAAATTAATATTACTGATAATGTAAAGAACTTGTTTCAGCTTTTCAGCAAAAAGATAGTTAATTTCTTTCTTTTGTACCATTGGCTATGAATTTGAATTTCACCGGGGTCTTGTGAAATTTATGAAGCCGATAAAGATTTGCGAATTGGTTGTAGTAGTTACTGGTTGCAATTTTAAGTCTGCGATGCAAAGCTTTGAACTGTTTTGGTGTAATTGGAGCATTTGTATTGGTTTGCTGATAATGTTACGTAGAAAAAAAAAATTTAACTTAAAAAAAACTGACTTCTTCTTTGTGGTACCGTGACAAAAAAAAAAAAAAAAAAAAAACTAAATTACTCTAAAACTAAACTAAATTCACATAATCAAAACTTTTAAATCTAAAAGACATCAAAGAAAGATATCCTCCCTGGTGTTTTGGTAGAATCACGATTGTTTGACAAAATCAAAATTCGAAGATGCCCTTCCGCAACAAAATCTTTAACACGCTATCTCTCACTAAATTAAAACTAATTTAGATCTCCAACCTGAAAACACATAAATTTCAATACAAAATCTAGAGATAACCTTAAACCTTTAACATTTCAAATACCACACAGAACTCTTCAAAACACCGGGGAAAGATACAATCTCCCAATTAAGAAGTCTACTCTTCAAATCAAAATAAATTCAGTAAACTGATCGTACAGTCACCGACACTTAAAACCTATTTTTTTCTACTACCGCAATATGAGTACCCAGGTTCGGTTGAAAAACCATGTTTCCGTAAGGATCACATGGGTGACCTACAGTAGACCACAATTAATACACAAAAGAAACATACAATATTAAAGATAATAAACACATTTATTGAAAATTCCCACACATTATAATTTAAGATAGCTGGCCAGACTACCCCTACAAAATCTTTTAAATGTTACTCATAGTTTTTTTTTATATCAATCCTCATATTTAACATTATTCCATTAACACAAAAATCACAGTGAATCCCGTCACAGTTCTTAAGCATTTTAAACAGGAACTCAAGAAGATTGAACGCATATAAAAAGGCTAAATTTAGAATAAATCATATTGAACATAGCACTTAAACATTAAAACAAAGATTCACTTCCTCCAAATTGGTTCAATTAACTTCTGACTATTAAACATTAATAAAAAAAATACCTTCTCAGCTAGAATTTAGTAAAAATATTAAATTTTTATCTGCCTAACATGACAGCTCTTGCTTTAGTATTAAACATTTCCAAATTTAAAAAGATTAATTATCAAAATAAAGCACCAATGAAAATATAAAGTCACTCACGAAATCCGAGGACACAGGAAGCTGCCCGGATCCAGTCACAAATCGCCGAAACAATAACTGCCAAATCTGCATCCATTTCAGGTATCAGGATCAATGTTCCTTCTAACCTTCTTCGGGA